TGCAGTCTGCAGTTCTTTCGCACCTCTCGTCGTGATTGTTTCATTAACGTTCAAGACATAACAAATCATTCTGACATTTATAAGTTGTAATTTATTTAATAACAGTGCTTTCTTCTCGTATAATAACTGTGCCTTGATTAAAAAAGTTTTAATAATATCAGTGAATATTATTTAGCTACACTTGAAATTAAAAATACAAATCAATTCCAAGAAGTGATTAATACTAATTACAATAAATTGCACATAATGAAAGTTTAAATGATAAATATTTTTTATCAAATTATATCAATAATTAATGTATTAAAAGTTTAATTATGTTTATGAGTCGATTACTTTGTGTTTAAAATTAAGTTATTAAAAATATGAAATGTACTCAATATACATTCAAACATTTTTTTATTTAATTGAAATTTTTAATCAACGAAAACATGAAAATTTAAAATTTTTCATCTAAAAGAACGCTCTGAAGTTTATAGTTAAATCTCCAAGAGATATAATTTAAAAAATGTTTTAAGTTCCAATTATGAGTCGTGAAATGATAAATCTAGGACGAGATTCTATCTCAAGAAACTCTGGTAATTTGAATTAATTTATAATTACTTTTAATGAATTGTATAAAGATATACGTATAAACATTAGAAAGATTAAATTTTAAAAATATTAATGAGAAAATAACAACAAAAAAGCCCATAAACCTACTTATTAAGGTATTGATTAAACAATATACGTGACCAGGAAGAAAATCTGATAAGCTCATACCAGATTTATGGTTGAGTATTAGATTTTAATAACGAACAAATTTTATCTGGTGAATAGTAGAATATTCTATCTGTATTTATACATATACCTAATCTTAATCTTTCATGACTTTGATAACCTTCGTAATACATATATAATTTGTGAAGTTCTTTAGTCAGTAATCTATATTTACGATTTTTATATCAATAGAAGTTGAATGAAAATAAAAAAAAAGTTATATGTAACGGCCGTACCCTTCATAAAGATCCCATAAAATTAACGTTTATACTAAAATATAAAAAAAAAAGGCTTCCTTTTTTTTTCGTTTTTTATTTCTCGGTATGAAATTTTTTTTCTTACTCGATAAAATAAATTTAGTGGAACGACATAAATCTCCTAAATTGTTTTTTATATTTTTTAGTACCTAGAATAATAATATCATTATCGCGAAGAAATAAAAGACGATTCTTCCCCGGTTAAGTGTTTGACATAAAATGGTACGGAAGCTTTGAGTTGCTTTGAAAATAAGTGTCTTGGTGTGTCATAACACACTAAGGACACATCTCACATTGTGCTCTATGCTACTACATATATGTATATATATATATATATATATATAAAGTAATATAATATAAGAAAAGACTGACAGGACGGATCGAAAAATAAAGAGATATGAAGAGGAAAAACCTGAGAGTAATGAAGAAGGAGATATCTCTTTAGACAGAAAGATTGACGATAAAAACGATGATGAGAGATCTCATGCCGGTATCATAGAATGGAAGGAACTTATAGGTTTGTTAGCTGGTAGCTGGTAGCTGCTGGGAGATTCGTTGGTTTTAAATGAGCAAGAGTCGTTGTCCAACTCCGCTGACCGTGGAGATAACGCTCTGACCCGTTACGCTGCCCGCAACTCGAGCACATGAATGCCGTCACTGTCTTTATCCCCTTAAGCTGCTTCTAGTACCGCGATTATCCAAACATACCCGCTCTAAACCCTTTTATTCAGCGACCAATCTTATACATCCTGATACCTATTTACTATTTAGCTTTAAATAACTTATGCTAAATTTATTCCAGGCTTTGTTGATTCAAACAATACTAGAACACCCAGTGAATCCTCGGATAGATTACAAGAAACTTATACTGATTCTGAAGACCGTCGTGAATCTAGGTTGACTAATTGCCATGGAAAAGGACCTATTTGTGGCAAAGAGGCTGCTTGTCGAACCTTCCCCAATAATACATCCAAATGCGTTTGTCCGCATGATTTATCACCACCTACTGATGATCTTAAATGTCCAAAGCGTTTGACTGGTGAGTTAAATCTTTTTAATCTTCCAGAGTTTAAAGCAAATTTTACTTCCATTTTATTTTATTTATTAAGTACAGGCAAACTTTAAACACCAATGGTATATCTGTAAATACACATTTTTCATAAATTTATATATTCAAAGCAGTAATAATTATTTTTCAATTTTATCTGATTTAGTTAATTAATATTTTTTTTTTTTAATTAATTTTTCTGATTTTTTTTACATACAAATAAACACAAACAAAATAAACTATTCACAGTAATTTATGACTTCAAGTTATATAAATAAATATCATTACTTCCAACAGTTAATTATTAACTTATATATTACGACTTAACTTTATTTCATCTAATTATTGTTTAATTTTACTTTAAAAGACTAAAATAATCATGACTTACTTTTTATTAAATAATTAGACTTCATATTATTAATTACGGATTTAATTTTATTTTTTTTTCAGCTTTCTCTATTCCAAAACCTATTAGTAATATTTTTCTACCAACAAGCAATGCAACCAACAGCACAATCACTCTTTCAGAAGCTGAACAGGTATTGCTTCAATCTTCAATCTAATAATAATAACACAATAATCCTTAAGAAAATTTGCATAAACTACTTTTATATATTATTTTTTTTACAATTACAATTATAAATAAAAATAATTGAATGAATGATTAGGTCAATGGAAGGAGTCAAAACAAAATACCGGAAGTTATTGGTGCAACAATAGCTTCTATTATTGCAGTAGCGATACTTGGCATATTTATTTTCATTTGTAGAAAAAAATGCTATAATAAAAAAATAAATCGTACTACACTAGACGTAAGTTGATGAAATTTTTAAATTATTTATTGTAATTAATTAAATGTTGATTCAGTAATCTCTTGAATTTTTCTAGTTGTCGCCGATGAATTTAAAGAAAAGTGTTCTTTTGGCAAATAAATACACGCCAAATCCTCAATACTTTAATTGTGCACCGCCGGAAGTACCGATTTTACGTCGTGAAGATGTTATTTTCTTCTATGAAATTGGACAAGGCTGTTTTGGTAAAGTTTTTAAAGGTAAATTATTTAATAAAATAATTACTGTTAATTAAAAATTATTAACACAAAATAATTTATAATTTTTTTGTTTTTTTTAAATTTTCTAAAAAATTTGTGAAATTACGGGAAGTGTTTGAAATATTTAAAAAAATTTGTGAAATTTTTAAGCTTTATTTTTAATTAAAGTTGAAGAAAAAATTAAATATAGTCCGTTAAATGAAGTACAGAAATTAATAATTACGCAGGTGAACTTTGTCATGGTGATAATAAGAAAGTAATTGCTGTGAAGGTTTTAAAAGAGTCAGCATCTCGAGAAGCTGAAGAAGACTTCATGAGGGAAGTTGAAATAATGTCGACGTTTCGTCATGAAAATATTTTGTCCTTAATAGGAGTAGTCCTAAGAGACTCGGGTAACAACCCTTGGATGGTTTTTGAGTATATGCCTCACGGTGACCTCGCAGAAGTTTTAAGAGCAAACTCACGACAATTAAGAAGTTCTACACCCGGACTCGAGCCATTAACCAAGGTTTAACTTTTTAACATTTTATCTTTGTATTTAAATTTCCTTTTAATTTTTAATTACTTTTATTATAACTCTCTATTCAACTGTTCATAATATGAATATATATTTTTTAAATTATTATTTTAGAAAGACTTACATCAAATATCAATACAAATTGCTTCTGGTATGGCTTATTTGTCCGCTCAAAGATTTGTTCATCGTGATTTGGCGTGTCGTAATTGTCTCGTTGGAAAGGATTTAATTGTTAAAATATCGGACTTTGGAATGTCACGTGATGTTTATACATGCGATTATTACAAAGTAATTAATAACAAAAATTATAACTTTATATGATAATTATTATTATTATTAATATTGTTGTTATTATTTTTTTTTTATTTCAAATTGTAGATTGGAGGATCAAGAATGCTTCCGGTTCGATGGATGTCACCAGAAAGTGTAATATTTGGACGATTTACTCTGGAAAGTGACGTATGGAGTTTTGGGGTGGTTTTATGGGAAGTATATTCTTACGGAAAGCAGCCGTATTATGGATATAATAACGAGGAAGTACTGAAAATTATTCATCAAGGAATAATGCTTACTCCACCAGAGGATTGTCCAGAATTTGTTATCGAGATAATGAAGCAATGTTGGAAAATAGACCCACGCGATCGTCTTCGCTTTTCGGAGATTCTTGAAAAATTTAAAAAAGCTCATCAAACTTTCGAAAAAATCAATGAAAAAGGTAGTTTACCTCGACCACCACAGGGACCAATAACAGTAAAATCACCTAATATTCTTGATTCTGAGGGATATCTTGTTCCAGCTCCAACAACACCCCGAGAATACCTGCAACCACTTGCTTCTGTTTATCCTATATGATTTTATATCAACCCATAATCTGTCATTTAACTCTTATCGTTCATTTCATATTTCTATCAAGTTATTAATTTGTAAATTTTATTTTATCATATAGAAACACTTACAATATAGTATTAATGTCAAAAAAAAAAAAAAAAATTGTAAATAATTTAATAATGGTATTATTTATGTTTTGTATTAAAAATTATTTCATAAATAATTTGTAAAATCAAATTGAGTACTTCCTTTAATTCTTGCTACAATTCAAACAGAGTTATTAAAAATTATTTCATAAATAATTTGTAAAATCAAATTGAGTACTTCCTTTAATTCTTGCTACAATTCAAACAGAGTTATTGTTTTCTTTTTTTTTTTTTTTTACATGTGCGTAACTATCAATTGTTTTTTGTTTATATTTTATAAAGAGAATAACAGTGTGATCTTAAATGACGATCGTATAAAATAAACAGAAATTATATCGTTATTTGACTTGTCAAATAATTTATTGGTGATTTAGTGAAAGGAAGAAAAAAATCAGAAATGTACGAATATAATATTTTGTTGTCAACAAGATTTCCGCAAAAGTTATGGAAGATAATAAACGAATGTCAAACGGGTTCAATACGATGGAGTTTAAATGGTACGACAATTTTATTAGATTATAAAAAATTTCATGAAGAATATTTGAGCCCACCGCAATCAATTTTCAAAACTAATAATATCTCGAGCTTTATACGTCAATTAAACCTTTACGGGTTTCGAAAAGTGACATCACATAATCGTGATCCATCATGTAATTCACGTAATCCTGATATTCATGAATTTTTGCACGACAATTTTAATCGTAGTCGTGCGGATCTTTTGAGTAAAGTTTGTCGTAAAACTTCGGGGAAATTAAATAAACGCATTGAACGAGCTGAAGCTAAAAATTTTCCAAGGAATGACGTAATCAATAAATCAAGAACGCAAGGAATGTCCCGATTACAAATGTGCCAGGTTAATTGAAATTTTATTATTTGAAAAATTTAATAATTTTTTAGTTCTATAATATTTATTTATAAATTTACTATTATTAGCTTGCTCTTAAAAAAGCGTTGGAACAAGCGATTGCAGATTATCGACGCAAAAAATATCAAGAATTGAAAGAAATCGTACCCGAAAATCATCAAGATCATCTATGAATAGTTATTTTTTTATTTATTAAACTAAAATTAATATTAATGCACAGTCAATCGATGTTTATATTATTCGCAATTAATAAATATTTGGTTATTGTTTATTCACTAAAAGGAGTGGGTAAAGTAATATTATATCAATTAAAATGTTAAATTAATGAAAAATTGAGAATAATTTTTTTTTTATTTTTGTAAATAATACATTTTGTCCTTTTTTCGTTTTATAAACTGTTTAGTTTTAATTTAATTAAAAGTAAAAACATTTAATTATTGAAACCAAATTTATTTATATTTTTACATACGAGTAAATAAAATGATTTAACGTATGGCAATGATTGAATAAAAAATAAAAAAAATTTTCAAATAAAGATCGTAAAATACAGAATTTAATATTTCTATATTGAAAAACATGATTATTTTATCGTTTTACGAGCACAAAATTATTTTCTAAGCGTATAGTATGTACACGTCTTGAAGTTATTACAGAACAATGATTGATGACAGTAATCGTTTTTAAGGCTGACTTGAGAGTTTGTACATTGAAAATTTTGATTTTTCAACTACGGAAATTATTTAATAATTTTGTGGTAAGTTGAAGCCGTGATCTGAGCATCCAACAACTTCGATGAATACTTTCTTGAACACGTTCTGCAACTATTGCAGCTGCTTTTTCCTCTGTATCAAGTCCTGTATTCACTGAACGTTTTTCAAACTCAGACAAGACATTTTCTAATTTTTCTGTCCTTTTCATGAATAAATCACTAATTTCTGTCCAGCACTGAAAATGTAAAATAATTTATGTCGAAGTTTGTTCATTTTTTTTTTAATTAAAAAATTTAATAGCAAAAATTAAATCCTTACCTCAATGTCATCAGCAGTAAATGATGATTCGACTTCTTTATTAGTTTTTTTCCGATTTTTTTTATTATTAATTTGAGGATGAGCTTGATTTATATAAGAAGCACACATTATACCAAGAAATGAAAGAGTTTCGCCACAAGTAGCAGCACGAAGTAGAAAATCTTTATAAGACACAGGCTCATCGGTAGTTGGTATAGGTAAGGTTTTCAAACAGTGAGCATTTCGAATAATTTCAATACATTGAGAATTTGGTCGGGAAAATTGAGAAAACGAATCAGCGAGTCGGGCAATAACCATTAATTGTTGAGAATCATATGATTCACGCAAACGTTCGACTGCATCTATTGGCACTAATATACTCTCAACTCTAACACGTCTATCTGCAGTCATAAATTTTTCAAGACACTTTGGTATGCGTTCATTGTTTAAAGTTTCAAGTTCATGTGATAACTTTGCCAAAAGTAACGAACAATCTTGTTCTTCAGCCGTAGCAGCAATTATTCTTAAAATAAGATTACGAGCGGCAAGTAATTGAAGCATACAGACACGTGTTTCTTCATGCTTTCGAGGGTCTTTATCATCAGTCGATGGTTCCCAACCAACAACAACTTCAAGATCTCTGTTGTCGCGCAATAGTTCCCATCGTATTGAATCTTCGTGAGGTAGCACTCTCATTGAAACTAACGCTCTGGACAACGACTTAGCGCTATCACACCAGCTCAGTTCCAGCAACATTTTGTCAACAGTTGATGTAGCAAAATGTAAAGAATTGTCAAGTCGTTCTCTTAAATCAACAAATTCTTGAATTTTTGCAAAACTTCCATACTTATAAGCGAAAGTTAGACGATCTGCACTCTAAAAATGTATAAGAATTTTATTAATTTCATATCAATGTTTAAAAAAAATGAAAAATGAACAGTAACAATCTATATAAATACTTACATGCTTGTAATTAGCCACGAAAAATTTAACAGCTTGATCAAGAGCATTTGAAGCACTAGATAAGTGCCCAAGTGGAGCCAAAAGTGGAACATACAAATAGCTCAAAGAGACTAATTGAATCTGTTTTGCATCTAGTAAGGAAAAAACATGATCTGCTGCACCTATTAAACCAGCTTCTAGATAAACTCGTATTAAAACTATTTTCAAATGGAAATTCGCTACACTTATTGATAAAGCTCGCTCTAATAACGCCATTGCTCTGAAATAATTTCAATTTTTATTATTTATAAATACAAATAATAAAATAACTAAAAATTTGCAAATATTTACTTGTAAAGATGCGAAGCTTCGTACGATTCATACCACATTTGTATCAGTAAATGCGCAGCAAGAAGAGCATAAGAATCAAATGGAGCAAAATCAGTTGGCAATCTTTCGTCGTTTATACATAATTCATTTCCCTTTTCGTAAAGATCACGTAAACGATCAACTAGTTTTTGACGTTTTTCTATATCCAAAATAGGTGAATGGTGCATACCACATGCACGACGTAATTGTTCACAATGAATATGCCGTAGCATTTGATCTGTCTTTGTAGGTGCTGCATCGTCAGCTATTCCAATGTCTTCGTTCATCTAAACATCATTTATAAGTAACCATTGTGTCAAATACAAATATTTCAGACTATAATTATTAATATAAATAAGATAAGAAAATTTATATGTAAATATTAAGGGGGAACACCACTGTGACGATCGAAAAAAAGAGGTGATTTGTTAAATTAATTTGAGCTATCCGGTCTATACTAAATTTCCTTTCACTTATTCTATATACATTAAGCCACACCGTCCATCTTACGGTTAGCATTTTTAACCAATATAAATAATGCTGTGAAGCGGGAAAGAATAGGAGTTACGGATAATTATTACGTGAAGCGTTCCAACATTCACGTAACAGGATAATTGGTAGGAAAGGATTGAGAAAGGATTGTGGAGAGGAACCTCTTAATGTGAGTGTATAGAATATGAGAGAAAAAATTATTAGATAGCTCGGACTACCGGTTATCTCACGGTGAAAGCGTATATATATATATATATATATATATATATATATATATATATATATATATATA